TCTACTGGTTGTTGGTGTCAGATTCGTGTCTGCAGTCAATCATGCAGTTCGGGCAGAACTTCGGGAAGACTGTCGACGGGCCAATTGTCGATAAAGTCATTGTGAGGTTGTTATTTCTTTTCTGTGCAAATATTGATAGTGGTGCGTGTTGGGTTGGGTTGTGTTCAGCCGAGTTGTGTTGGGTCGAGTGTGCTGGTGTAGTATGCAGACTGGTCTTCCACTTGCTGGTGCCGAGATGGAGTTTGATGAAGAGTTTCGGATATTTGGGTTTGTCTGGAATGATTTCTTTGATAATGTCGTCGAGTTGTTCGAGTCCGGATTGGGCGATGGCGTGATTGGCGAGAGTTGTTGCAACGAACGTGTTGATTTCGAACCGAGTTCAGACTATTGTTTTGGTGCTGAGCTGCTGACTCTATCGGAGGGGTTGTCGAAAAATTGGTGGTGCATTGTCAAGTTGTCCCTCGACAAGTTCTCTGATACCGGGTAATAGAGTGATGGGTTCGTCGTTGGTGTAGGTTCTGAGGATGTGCTTCAGTATTTGGAGTGGACGCAGGAATTGGAATTGTGTCGGAGCGCTAGGATTGCTGGGTCGACGACTGCATGGAAGATGAGTTCGTTTCAGCAGTGGTGTCGGTTTGTGTCGAGCGCGCTGGTTGAGGTCTCAAGCTTGGAGTGGGTGGTCTTGTGCTCGGAGATGGAGTTCGCCAATGAAGCTGTTGAGGGCGTCCGCTGATGAAGGTGCTGGTAGATTGGAGTTTCTTGTCAAAGAGGGCTGTTGGTGGTCTTTGTTGGTGATTGGACTCGGAGATCGAGAGAGAGAGAGCTTTCAGATTCTGCAAAGATCTCCTCTGGGAAGGGTCTGCCTCTTCTACGTTGGGCAGCGATCGCTTGGACGCTGTTGATCCATATTGGTGATGGCATTTGTTTGTTGAATTTGGGCGAATTGGGTAGCAAATTGGGTGGCAAATTGGGTAGCGAATTTTGGCAAGTTGGGTAGATTGCTTGATCGTTCTTGCTATCTGCGCACAAAGAATGGAGAAAGAATGGAAGAATTTGTGAACCTAAAGGGGAATTCAAAAGCCCTGGTTGCCAAATGAAGAGGTGTGAAAACTCCTCTTTGCTGGAAATCTATTGTTAGTAAGAAAACAAAAGAGAAAAAAGCCCGATCTCCAAGGGCAGAGAAGAAGCACGAGAAAAAGAATGTTATGTATTAATAAGAAAAATGATGGAATGGAGATAGGGATCCACAATTCGGATTCCCCCTTTTGAAAGGCTAGCGGTTCTAACTGCTAGCATATACTATATGCTGTGCATGATTTAATCTATGGCTCCGATGCAACCTTGGGTTCAAAGTCAGAGTCCCCTGAGCCTGGGTTTTTGGTTAATACACGATATGTCAAGTGTAGTGCTTCGCGTAAGCTTGTGGGTGTGACTAGGCTAGTGGAGTCATGTTTTAAAGCTTCTCCTTGTCCCTTACCATGCTCGCAGTGGCTTAACGTACCCATGAGCAGTTGAGGGACTTCTTCGAACCTCACAGATCCTTGTGTTGTATCATCGCCTCGCTTGCCATGCTTCTTCTCTTGTCAGCCCATCAGCTATGCAGAGTCTAAACCTGCAAGCAGCTCTTGAGGAATTGTTTGCTCTCACTTGATGCTCGATCAAAGCTCTCACAACGTACTCGGGACTAGACTACAGTGGATATCAC